ACAGGCACAGTGGAGACAGACAGGCGCATGTGGAGACAGGCGCAGTGGAGACAGACAGGCACAGTGGAGACAGACAGGTGCAGTGGAGACAGACAGGCACAGTGGAGACAGGCACAGTGAAGACAGACAGGCACAGTGGAGACAGACAGGCGCAGTGGAGACAGACAGGCGCAGTGGAGACAAACAGGTGCAGTGGAGACAGGCGCTGTGGAGACAGACAGGCGCTGTGGAGACAGACAGGCGCTGTGGAGACAGACAGGCGCTGTGGAGACAGACATGCGCTGTGGAGACAGACAGGCACAGTGGAGACAGACAGGCGCTGTGGAGACAGACAGGTGCTGTGGAGAAGGCACAGCTCCCAGCAGCAGCAGTGCGTCGCAGCCTTTGAAACCCATCCTCTTGTGAGAAGGAAAAGAATGAGCTCAAATGCTTGGGGAAAAAGGTACTATAACCCCAGTTTTCCAATTTTCCACCCAGCAATGTACGGAGCCGGGTTCTGCTGGAACTGCACTGTTGTCCTTCCTCAGGAGCAGCTGAGAAGCGTGTGACCACGTCTACTTAACTACGGTGGGTCACTACTAGTCACATAAAAACGTTCGCAGTTTCTGAAGTTCAAGGGTAGGATCCAAAATCACAGAGAAAAAATAAGGGAGAGGCAGGTAAGTGCTCGATGGGGAAGTGTCTACAGAGTCACGTGTATTCCATTAATCATCTTCCTCATGAGGAAAAGGGCCCTTCTGCTGGGCAGTCACCGCCCGCCAGGCTACCACTCACCTGGATTTCTATATTAACATCACCCTGGTTTCCAAAGGAGAAGTCTCAAGTCTGCACTCCCGATACCACCACATGGAATGAGCATACCACCTTGATCCATTGGTGGGGAAACCAGACACCTGAAATGCCTGTGGTTACCTGACGAGCAACTGAGAGATTCTCCCAGCTACTCGATCTGAACCGATCCTTCCTGGGTCCTGAAGCAAACACAGGCCCACTGACCTGAGGGATTCTGTGGTGTTGATGAGCGGCTGGCACGGAGGGGGCGGGAGGTACAGCACTGGCTCCTCACTCAGCACCATCAGGGCTTTGTCGTTGGAGACAGAATGGTCGTAGCTGAAACAAACAAGCACACACGTGTCTCCTTGCACCCTAAACTCCCAAGAACTTTGCGATAAGAAAACTATCACTAGTATTAACTTTTTATGAAAACAAGAACCTAACAGACAGAACATACTATAAGATAGAAGCAAATGTAACAGAAAAGGAGAGAAGTATAAACCACACAGCACTAATGTCATTTTGTAAGCTGTTTATCCAGACACCATTTATTGAGCAATTACTATGTGCCAGAGCTAGGGATACAGTAATAACACGTGGCTCATGTGTGCACTGAGCTCGAGGCGCACACAGTGCTGCTGGAACAGAGGTGACGGGGAAACTGGGGGAAGTCCCTGCTGACTGACAGAAAGGACAGCATCATGTACCAGGACTAAAGTTCTGTGGTCACTCACAACCTGTGACAACAAAACTGAACAGTCTCCCTAATACAGTGTGTGGTGGGAAAGGGGAGACACACATGCTTGTGTTCAGGAGAAAACTGAAAGCAACCGAGAAGCTGAGCATAAAATCTAGAACCTGAATCGCTGACAAACACAAGGGTGACGTTAACCAGTTATTCCATTAGCTTAAAAAGCAGACTTCCTTGAGTGTCACCCTGATCTTCACCTTATGAATTCATACCCGGGGGTGTGCTGGAAGCAGAGCCCAAGGTGAAGAGAGAACCAGAACTGGGGCATCACTAGGAGTCATGCTCCTCAGTTTGCTCTTTAAACCGTCCTCACTAAGAATCTTAGATCTGTCTGGCGTTTCTCTACATATGATGTTCTGGATTTAGAAAATTAGATACACTAAAACCAAGAAAGGAAAAATATTAACACAAAATTGGACATGGCTAGATTCATATTTTTCATTAATTCATCCAACAAATATTTACTAAATACCAGCTCTGTGCCAGGTACTGTGCTGGGTGCTAGGATCCAACTGGAAACATGAGAAATGGGGTCTCAAGCCTCAAGACCTCGATGTGGAAGATGCAAGAAAACAAACATGCAAGCGCTGGGTGGACAAGGCGGTGGGAGGAGACCCTTGGCAGCATCTCCTCTAGAGAACATGGTCCAGGAGGGAGAGGAAGCACCGCAGGGGGTTCAGAGCAGCCGGTGGGAAGAGGGCGAGTTTAAGGATGCAAAGGAGGCCACTCGCCCACCAACAGCTGAGCAAGTGAGGGAGGCACATATGATAAGGAATTACTCACCTAAGGAAAAGCCACAAAAGGGATTTATTCCCATTTATGTCGACTCCTCACCACTGTGTCAAAGTGGATTTGACGGAGACAAGGGGGTGGGAGACCGTCAGAAGAGAACTGCGGTGAGCCAGGCGGGGGCTGAGGACAGATACTGAGGGTGGCAGAGAAGATGAAGGCAGGTGCCCAGTCAAGGTAACTTTTGGAAACTACCAACAGCACTTGTGGAAAGGGAGGAAGCAGGGTTTCTGCTGCAGGAAGTGGCTGGGGGAAGAGCGTGGAGAGGACCGAGATCTGAGATCTCCACAGTGCGTGTGTCCACCCTGCGAGGTTAACCCTTTGAGTGCCGGCAGTGCTATCGGCAATTTTTTTTTCTACTAGTATTTTATAATACAATCAGCAAACAATATATGTCAAAGATGAAGACAAATGTAGTAAAGGTTTCCTTAAGTTTTGAATATGTAACTTCATTTACTTGCGATTCATAATTTTTTCCTAAACTGCTGTAAAATCGGCAAAAATGCCTTGGCAATTTTAGCATAGTTCCTAGGATATTGGTTGGCACTCAAGGGGTTAAAACAGAGAAGTCGTGGAAACTGCTGCCCACAAGGGTGCGGAGACTCAGAAATCTGGAGGGAAACCAATCTGAGAGTCCTGGACTGTGCTCGGTCGTGGACAGGCACCCGGGCGAAAAGGAAACAGAAGAGTTCACAGCCCCGCACCGCGGGGCCTGGACAGAGGCGGTGCCACGAGAAGACTGGAACTGGAACACGCAGCAGAGCACACGTCTCAGGGAAGGAGGGCCACAGCCGAGGGCAGTGGGAAGACCCAGACAAGTTTCCATGGACTTTGGCAACGCTGGCCCGCTGGCCCCCTGGACAGAAAAAACTTGGCCGAGTGGAAAAGTAACTTAAGGCAGCCTTCCCTGCAACATGACTCACGGCCTTTCTTCCGCCTGCCGGTGGTTGTTTGGAATAAAACAGTCGTCTACACAGGTAATGACTGTGCTCACAAAGGTGATCAGCCTGAATTCAGTTGTAGAGGGAGAAGAAAAAGTCTGCCTTGGACTTGGTAAATTCCCAACGCCAGCAGAAGCTGTCCGCCACACTCACAACCAGAACAAAGACCCGTCACATGTGCATTATTTCAGAAACCAGGTCTGCACACTGACAGAAGTACAAATGCTGCCGTCCATCAGAAGAGTCCAAAACAGCTTTGGAAAATACATTTCTGATTTATAATTGTATTTCCATGTGATAAACTCTAGTAATGACTTCTGCACATCTGTGCTGACTGGCTTTGTTCTATCAGCCAAAATATTATTTGGAAAACAAAGAAAAATCCAATAGAAGAAATACCAGGAAAGAGTCTGGGTGGAGCAGAAGGGGAGGAAAAGAGACACTCAGCCAGCGTCCATCTGGAGACAATTAGGGCCACACAACCCTGAAGTGGCCTGAGCTCCAGGCGGCTAGTGAACCACTTGATGGTAAAAATCTCAGTACATAAAGCTCCAGAGTCCAGGGCGTTGTAAACAGAATTCCTCGAGTCAGGGAAGGTCCTGGCTAATGCCTTCTCTGGGGGGACAGTCCTGACTGGAACCCAATGTCCTGGCATAATTATTACTAGCACTACCTTTCATTCTAAAAAGTGTCCCAATTTGGGTGACAAATCCTATGGTCACCTTATTCTATACCACACATTTCTTTTTTTCTAACCTTGATCCAAGGAAGGAGAATATTTTTTTCCCATTGATTTTTAGAGAGAATGGAAGGAAGGGAAGATGGGGGAGAAGGGGGGAGAGAGAGAGAGAGAGAGACACTGATGTGACAGAGACACATCGATTGGTTGCCTCCCACATGTGCCCCATCAGGGGGAAGGGATGGGACCTGCAACACAGGTATGTACCCTTGACCAGGAATTGAATCCAAGGCCTCCTGGTTCTAACCACTAAGCCACACCAGACAAGACACCAAACATTTCTAAGATTGAAAAAACATATGCAGTTAACTATTCAATGACAGGCAAATACAACATTTATTATAAATTATGGGAGGAGTCTACTTTTTTATTTGAACCAGTTCTCATAACGCATCTGAAAAAAACAAAACATATTATGAAATAAGCTGCACTAAGAAACAAATAGAGAGTGAAAATTGTGGCAGAGTAAGTGGATGCTACACAGACACACTCCCAAGATCAAATTGGAATTACGACTAAAATACAAAACAAAACAAAATCCTGAATAATCAACTGAAGACTAGCTGGAGAGAACCCTGATAACCAAGGACTGAAAGTGCAGACCACATAGAGACTAGTAGGAGGGGCAGAGGCGCAAAAGGGCTGGCCGGGCTCCCACAGAGAGCAGCTGAAGTCCCAGAGGGATATCCCAGCTGTGGGCAGTTGCCACTGAGAACTCTGGGGTATAACCCCCAAACTGGGCTCCTCAGCCCAGAGCACCAGAACTGAGAAAGTTGCCCACATAACACCTGGCTGTGAAAAGCAGCAGGGCTGCCTGTCTGCCAGGGAGAGATGGCTGGAAATTCAGGCACCCTCTTAAAGGGCCAACGCACAAAATTTCTAGTGCAGCCACTCACCCTGGGCTCCAGCAGAGGGAGGGCAGAGTAGACTGGAGCTGTGTGAGCAGAAGCCAGGGTTGGAGGTTGCTAGGGTAGAGCTCAGAGCGAAAACACCCTAGTTTCCTGTGCTGAGTCGTTCCTTCAGCTGCAGAGGACAACTCTCTCAGGCAGAGCTTTGCTGTCCAGGTGGTTTTTGCCTGGGGGTAAGACAGTTGCCCCACTCTATTGGAAAACCCCTTGCCACAACCTGTGGAGTTTCTGAGGCACATTAAGAGACTGAAAATAACAATTAGCCCCCAGGCAGAAGCAATTGCCCCACCCTATTGGAAAACCTCAAGTTCCACCTGTGGACAACTGCCTTCAGCTACTCAAGACTGATTACAATCAGTGTGCAGGCAGAGGTAGGTCTCTGGAGGCTTTGAGTCATTGCCTAATCTTTGCCTGAGTCAGAAACAGCATTTGACACAGCAGTGCACTAGAGGTTGGAAGGTATAGTAGATCTACCTAATACATCGTCACAAACCCAAACAGGCAGCCAAAATGAGGAGACAAAAAAGCAACCCGCAAATGAAAGAACAACAGAATTCTCCAGAAGAAGAGCTAAATGAAATGGAAATTAAAAACTTATCAGACATAGAGTTCAGAGTAATGATGACAAAGATGCTCAATAGAATGAGAAAAGTATTGGTAACTATGAAGAATGACATAGCACGAATAACAAAGACAATGGAAGGAATACACAGCAGATTAGGGGAAGCTGAGGATTGGATCAGTGAGTTACAGAATGTGTAGGAAAACCAAAAAGAAAAAACAATTAAAAAACAGGAGGACAACTAAGGGAGCTGTGGGACAACGTGCAATGTAAAATTATTCACAGAACAGGTGTGCCAGAAGAGGCAGAAAGGGAGAAAGGGACAGAGAACATGTTTGAAGAAATAATGGCAGAAAACTCCCCTAACCTGGAGAAGGAAAATGTCACACAAGTCCAGGAGGCACAGAGAACCCCAAGCAAGAAGAACCCAAACAGGCCCACACCCAGACACATCATCATTAAAATACCAAAAATTAAAGACAAAGAGAGAATCTTAAAGGCAGCAAGAGAAAAGCAACTGTTACCTACAAAGGAGCTCCCATAAGGCTGACACCTGATTTCTCATCAGAAACTCTACAGGCCAGAAGGGAATGGTATAAAGTACTCAGGTAATGGAAAGCAAGGATCTGAAACCAAGATTACCATA